GATGTTGTGGCTCTCTTGCAGCTACTGGGCCTCATTCGGTTGGGCCTCCCAGCTGTCTGTGTATGAGGCTGCCATTATCGTCGAGGGCCTACATCATTTCGGAAAGGCCTGGAAGGCCGTTGAAGGTCTCGCTACTCGGCCTGTGTTTTCCTCAACCAACTGGCGTGACGAAACTGCATGGACCCCCAAATACGAAATTGATAGCCGAGGGCCTCTCGTAATTTGTTAGGCCCGCATTCACTTAGGGTGGGCACAAATGCAACAGGGGGCCCTTAGGCCTGCCGAGGACTGAGATACTCGCACTTGCAGCATCAAATCAATTGAAGATACAAAATTGATTGTGTGTGGGGAATTGAAGGAATGGGCTGTGATAGGTGGTGCAAGGTACAGTTTTCCCACTACAGTCCTGATGAGGTTGATTGGGTTGTGATTGCACAAATCTGTGGACGCCCGCCCTTTGTACCCGACCAGACCAATAGAAGTAGCTGGATGTACCTCCGACCAATAGCTACACGGTTCTTCTCTCTCTCACACACACAGAGTGTTCCCGAACTACAGCTTACTAAAAGCTTTCAGGCCAACGCGCGGCCTCCAAAAAAATTTGGCTGCCCGTTTCTTATTTTACGCGATCAGGGGGCCGGGTCTACTACCACCCCTCACAACTTTTTTTTTTTTTTTTGACCCCCATTTTTGGAGGTGCGCCGCATGCAGTGCGCGCGCATGGTGCGGGATGCGCGGTGCGGCGCACGTGCGCAGTGCGATGCGCTGCATGTATGGAAGTAGCTGAATGTGCAATGAACCCAGATCGTGAAGACAGTCGTCAACAATGCAAGCCCAGATAAATGTCCATCGGCTGATGATTACTAGTAGTCAAAAATCGTGCTTCGGGCTCCCTCCTCTACTAACACCTCAAGAATCAATATAGTCTGGACGAGTATCCGAAGTATCCTCAATGTGCCACGTGGGACGTCTAATCAGTTCCACATCAGCATCTGGAGCAATGTCGACATGAAGACCACCAGGTACGTATCCTCGAACTCTCCACAGTCCTGATCTCCTCCTGAAGCAACGATGAAATAGAACAGCAATGCCGATTATGTAGTCCCAGCCATAGAACACGTGGCAGCAGCCACGTCAGCCAATGATATACGTGGCAGCAACCACGTCAGCGATAGTGCACGGCAGCTGCCACGTCAGCATGTCAAGAGGACAGGAGCAAGCCGGCCACCATGCCGGACTAGCAACGCATCGCCAAGTTACAATGCCAGCGTCGCAGCGTTGAGCCAGCGTTGAAGTCAACGCGTGAAGTCGGCATCAACGCAAGACAGAATGAATGTCAAAGCCAAGGAGTCAGCTCTTATGTAGTGTTGACGCGGGGTCTGGACCCCGGATGCTGTATCCCTCAACCGTCCAGATCTCAATGCAATGAGGGCCTAGATTGGCCTGAAACCAAATTCCCTTCGCCCTGGATGCTGTCTAGGTACTTGCGCACAACAAGTGAGTGTATCCAACCAAGGGCCTGGGTGCGGTGCCTTTCACTTTACAGTTGACTTTGACTCTTGAATTTTTTGTGTGCAGCGTTTGGTCACACAGCCACAGATGACAAACTTAGGCCTGGGCATGCCTTGGTCACACAGCCCAGCGCAGACCAACTCAGATCTGCGTTTCGTGGGGCTGAGTTCTGAGCCCCAGGCTACTTCTGAATAGGGTTATTACATTCCTGCCAGCCCATTTTCGAGTTCCACCGCAGAAATATTAAGACTTTAACCCTCGTTCATGAGCAACGACAATATCAGGAGCAGTTTCAAGTAGTTCTGGTTTACTAAACCATCTGTCCTTAGATGGTGCTTGAGTTTCAAAACGTACCTTGAACTGCTTCTGAGGTCGTCCACGTCCTCCCGTAGAGAAGTAACCATGCTCTATGATCCTATCAGCCTCGTATCTGCCATCCATGTCTGGTGAAATCATAGAGGGTCTGTGTGGAAACTCTTTTCCTTCTACGAAGGCAACAATTTGGACGCATGAAAGATAGGATATGTTTTGAGATGAGGGGGGATATCAACTCGGTAAGACGGTCCCTCTCAATCATTCGTAGTTGAGCTTTCCTTAGATTATCTTTAACTTTCTGAATGTCCTCCTGAAACAAGATTGCATATTCTCAGGTCCCTGGGGGCAACCTAAGAAAGTGGTCCCGGTTTAGTACGTCAATGGGACGTTTAGGCTTCCACCCTTTGTAAAGTGCATTCGGGGTTTGTCCAGTGGAAGTATGAATACTATTATTATATGCACTCGCAATTTTGGGTAAGTTCTCATCCCAATCAATCTGATCGGGTCTAATATACATACGCAAAAGTTGCTGGCACAGACGGTTCATCTGTTAAGTCTGGCCATTCGTTTCGGGATGCGTCCCTGACGACAGGGTAAGCCGTGTGCCAAAAGCTTCCATCAGCTTTTGCCATGGCGGACTGGTGAACCTGACATCTCGATTAGACACAATTGTTTTAGGGAACCCATACTCAGTGACCCATCGCATCTGAAATTTCTGAATGACAAGTTCAGTACGCGCTTTTGCTGGTAAGGGAACAAACATAGCATATTTAGAGAAACGATCCACAATTGCGACTTTTAACTAGACTCATAAAGTCAATTGAGATAGACTCACCTGGTTCGCTTGGTATAGTCCAAAGGGGTTCTCATGCGACGGCTTGTTTCTCCGACACACTAGACATGTACGAACATATGTTAGTACATCTTCTTTAAGTCCCTTTGATTCAAAACGTTCTCTGACTTCAACATATGTTTTCTTGAAACAATAATGACCCTCAGAATCATGACATTCCTCAATCAACACACTCTTACTCTCTTCCTTATGAGGAATACACAATCTTTGTTCGGTTTGGTCAATCAAGAATAACAATCCATCAGTTAGTCTATAGTTGGGTAGTTGGGATGAATCTCGTACAAGGACATCCATGATTGGTTTCCAGATAGGATCAGTATCATATCCTTGGCGAATCTGGTTTTTCAGGTCATTCCGAACATCGAAGTAGGAGATAATTGCACCAAAGAAATCACTCCGTCTGGACAATGTGTCTGCGACCACATTAGACTTACCTTTGATCGTTTTCAACTCAAAATCGAAGGTATCGATAAACGCAGACCATCGTACCAACTTATTAGAGAGCCTAGACTGTGTCTTTATCCACTTCAGAGTCGAGTGGTTTGAGTACACAGTAAAGTGCCTCCCTAATAAGTAGTGCTTCCACGTGTTTAGTGCATAGACTAAGGCATACAACTCCCTTTCATAGGTGGAGTTGACAACCTTTTCTGACGGCAGTGGTGCCGACATAAACTCTATGGGCCTATAGCTCTTGCCGTCAATAAACGTAGACCATCGTACCAACTTATCAGAGAGCCTAGACTGTGTCTTTATCCACTTCAGAGTAGAGTGGTCTGCGCACACAGTAGAGTGCCTCCCTAATAAGTAGTGCTTCCACGTGTTTAGTGCATGGACTAAGGCATACAACTCCCTTTCATAGGTGGAGTTGGCAAATTTTTCTGACGGCAGTCGTGCCGACATAAACTCTATGGGCCTATAGCCCTTGCCGTTATCTTGCTGGAGAACATCGCCAATCCCATACTGACTTGCATCAGTAGTGACAATGAAAGGCAAAAACGGATCAGCAATCTTAAGGAAGGCATACTTCAATTTCCTGAAGGAAGATTCACAATCCTTGTCCCACAACCAAATAGATTCTTTCTTTAATAATCTTCTCATTGGGGCAACAATCAGTGAGAAGTTCCTAACAAACTTCCTATAATAACTAGCTAGACCAAAGACGAATCTCTGCAATCCACAAAAGCAGATTTTCGTCTTTCTTATTAAAAAACGTGAAAGGCAATTTCATTTTAACTTTTTCTTTCTTCTTTGGTTTCTCAGTTTGTGCGGTGGTGACCTTGCTTCCTCTGGGAGACTTCGGCGGACTCGAAGGCTCCCTTTTCTTCTCTTCCAGTTTCTTCTGTTCCGGTTTATGAGTTTCTATCTTAAGAGACTTCATTGCATCTCCCATTAGTTTCTTTGGCTTTTCAGTCTTTTCTTCCTTGACCTTTTCCTTTCCCTTGACCAGATTAGTGACTATCTGGAGTCTTGCGGTCACATCATCTATTTGTGACTGCATCCGTTTACCATATCAAGATGATCTTGACTGGTCTTACTGCATGTTATCACATACTGCCCCGCGTCTGGATCGACGACCATCTGTAACCCTCGAAATCTCCATTGCTGCAATTAGTTTTCTTCGGCTGATTTATTGTGGAACGTGTACCTTGTCAGGTCAGACAAGAGGGGATCTCCATCTAATTTGATCGGGCCCGTTCGATAAGTCAGTCCTCTCTTTCATTTTTTTTTTTTTTTTTTAATTATTCTTTTCTTTATTCTGCTGCGTGCCATTCTCTAAGTCCAAATGAATTGTCGCTGTGGTTAGGAGATATGCCTTCTACTCTTTGTGATTTACTATTTGTTTCTTTTATTTGAACTATTTATATCCGGTATCGAGACGCATGCGCGGAAAGCGGAAAGAGAGAAAAGGGAGAGAGAAGGTGTTCTTTTTGGAAGTGCGAGGAAGGGCAAGAGGAGTGTTCGTCCAAACGCGAAGAGAGAGCTGACCCCTCTTGAGAGATTTACTAACACCCCTTCCTCCTGCATGGCAGACATCTCATCTGCCTAATGGCAGGCCATGCTGGACGCAGCGGACGAGAACGAGAAACCGTTCTTTCAAAAACTTTATGACGATGCCGTACAGAGGGAAAGGGAGGCAGAGGCAGCAGCCAGAGCCACAAGCATTGCTGAACAGGTGGCCCTCCTTGCGGTTCCGGAATCGAATGATGACCGGTTCTGAGAGAAGATAGCTGCTGCTGTAGCAGCCTTGGTTCAACTGCGGACCCTGGAAGACCTTGAGTCCCGTGTGACAGCCCTGGAGCAGCTGAATCAAGAGTTGCAGGCTGAGATAGTCAGCCTCAAACAGTCCCAACTCGCTGCCCTCCGTCCTCCTAACCCTCGACCTGCTGCAGTCCCAGTCTCTCAACCTAACACAGTCCTCATGAGGAGATCAAGTGGAACTGTGACGAGCGCAGGAACCGGTGCCAACTCCTCAAGCGACAGCGCCGACAGTTCTGCACTGGTCAGTGTTCCAAATGCAGGAACATCAGCCCAAAACGCCACAGTTCTTACTGACGTACAGTACAACGGTCCCGTAGTGGACAAGCGGGCGGCCACTTTGCCGTCCAATTACGACGAGAAAGGGGACATCACCTCTTGGATTAGCTCCATGCGCTCATACTTCGAGGTGCTGCGAACACCGCAAGAAGACCGAAGCATGATCATGGGCACAAATACTGAGCCCGTCGTACAAAGTTTCATAGAACTCCAAACTGTTACAGCAGGTTATGAGAGGATTGACCTGGCCGAGTGGCTGAAAGTAACTCGTGTACGCACTCTTGAGGACCTCCTCATCATGCGGTACCAAGATAAGCGCGCTGTGCTCAAGGCAAGGCTGAAGCTTGAGGCCCTCAAGGGCCAAACGTGGAGGACCTCCATGCAGGCTTTGGAACAACACTTGACTGGTCTGTTCACCACTCCAAACCTCGGAATGACCGACGTGTCTTGCATGGATGTAGTCATGGGAGTGGCCCCTAAAGAATACCTCTCCTTGCTAGCACTCAAAGACCATACCACTTGGCGAGAGCTAATGACGGATCTAGTCAACCTAGAGGCCAAGGACCTCGCCAGGCGTACAAAGGCACCCGCTGCAGGTAGAAAATCACAACGCAAGCGGTATGGAAGCAACAACCAGCTTGCCCTGCATGAACACCGAGAGGCTGAAGATCAGTCCTACGCGCGGATGATCTGTCTCTAGATGACGATCTAGCGCCGGACTCCGATATGGGTTGTTCTACATCAGCCATTTGAGTTTGACGTGAATGAAGAAGAAAAATTTAATGCATTCAAAAAGACTGCTTCAAGCAAGGGGCCTAACCGTGGTTCGGGTAGGGGAACTATAGCACACCTCCCCAAGAATGCGAAGATCCCTGAGAAACCCGAGGACGCTTCTACCAAGCCTTGGGAAGCCCTCCACATCAGTCAGAAGGAATGGGAAAGAAGATCCAAACTGCGCTTGTGCTTGCATTGTCAAAAGCCTGGGCATGATGTGCAGGATTGTTATCGTCTGAGGGAAAGAGGCAAAGGGCGTAGAGAAGTCATCAGCACTCTCTACAGCAAGGGAAGCTGAATAGTCAGTTGCAAGCCCTTCCAAGGAGCCTGAATCTGATCAGCAACTTGCTCTTGAAGCCCGAATTGATGTTGAATCCAAGGCTGGTGCAGTCCAAGTACTTTACACTAAGCCTTGGGAAGAGAGTAAGGAAGTTGACTTCCACTCTCACCTGGAACATTGGCTGCAGCTCAAGCAGCAACGCCGTGTTCAAGGGAGTGTGGAGCTAACCTTCTTTAAGTTACTCATTAACCGCCGATACATCCGTGTGCTAATTGATAGTGGCTCCACGACTAACTTTCTTTCTCCTAACGGGATTCGTAAGGCGGGCCTGGGAATGAAGCAAGTGGAGTTGCAGAACCCTTGTCAGACCCAGAAGGGCAACCAAGAGGTTGTCACCTCAACACATGCTGTCAAAGGTGTGCGCATCACTTTTGACAAAGATCGCACTATCACACATGAGCTGAACTTTTACGTCATAGACAAATGTCCGTTCGACGCGGTCATTGGTTTGGGCTGGTTAAAGCTCATTGCCTAAGGACCATGTGGGCGGATAATCAGTTCGTGGTGCGTGATGCCAAGGGGAATGAGCGTACCGTTCTATTGGAGGAGACGCGCGAGTCCCCTGTGACTCTTTTGAGTGCGAACAAATTCTGCAAATCAGTGCGCAGACGCAAGGAAGCTGAGCATGTACATGTAGCTCTTGTAAAACCTCTCCATGTGCCTTCTACTTTTGCTGCATTTTCTACTTCGGAAAGTAAATCTACTTCTACCACCTCTATTTCTATTCCATCTACTTCTACTGTGAATAATCACTCTTCTTCTGATCCAAATACTTCAAATCCAGTTGTAATTGCTGTAAATTCTCTTTCTGATTTTCTTTCTCCTGATGAGGATGATCCTCCAGCGGAAGTCCCAACAAACATTCGTCGTCTATTAGATCGATTCCCTGAAGTTCTGACCGAACCTCGTGGAGTTTTCGAGCGTCCGGTCAAACACAAGATCGAGATAATAGAAGGGAGTGTTCCTCCAAAGGGCAGCGTCTACCGTATGGGACAAGGCGAGTTGGAGGAGTTGAGGAGACAAATTGATGACATGATAGATCGTGGATGGATTAGGCCTAGTGAGTCTGAGTTCGGTGCACCTGTCTTGTTTGTACCGAAGAAAGGAGGCAAAAAAAAATCGGATCACCAGAAAGAATGCTTATCCTTTGCCTCGCATCGATGATCTGCTAGATGCGGCAGGTGGTTGCAAGGTCTTCTCCAAGATCGACCTCAAGTCTGGCTACCACCAGATTGAAGTTCATTCGAGTGACCAGCACAAAACTGCATTCAAAACACGCTATGGGCTGTACGAATTCATCGTTATGCCCTTCGGTCTTACGAATGCACCAGCCACATTTCAGTGCCTCATGGACAAGGTTCTCCGCCATCAGCTTAACAGGTTTGTTGTTGTTTACCTTGATGACATCCTGATTTTCAGCAAGTCCATGGAAGAGCACGTCAAGCACCTTGAGGAGGTTTTGCAGGTCCTCAAGGAGGCACAGTTGCACCTCAACTTAGAGAAATCTGAGTTTGGAAAGGACAGCGTCATCTATCTTGGGCACCGGTTGTCTGCAAACGGCCTTGAGCCGGAGGCAACCAAGGTTGAGGTCATACGAAAGTGACCTCAACCGGCAAATGTACGCGAATTGCGTTCTTTTTTTGGTTTGGCCTCGTAATATCAAAAGTTTGTGCCCAAATTTTATGTCATTGCTCACCCACTCTCGAGACTAACAAGTAAAACTGTTGCCTATGCGTGGTGTGAGAAATGTGAGACTGCGTTCCAAGCCTTGAAAGAGGCATTGGTGAGTCATTCTGTGCTCCGCATTGTGGATCCCAACCTCACGTTCGTGGTTACTACGAACGCGAGCCAGTTTGGGATTGGTGCAGTGCTGCAACAAGATGATGGTGATGGCCTGCGTCCGCTCGAATATTACAGCAAACGCATGCCCAACCACAAGGTAGCTACCTCCACATACATGCGTGAGCTCTACGCCTTGCGCGAGGCGCTCACACATTGGAAGCACTACCTCTTGGGTCGTCACTTCAAGGTCTACTGAGATCATAAGACCTTGCAGTGGATTAAGACACAAACTGATCTCTCCCCAACGCTGACCCTCTGGTTGCATGACATTGATGTGTACAATTTTGAACTGAAACATAAGAAAGGCTGTTATAATCGTGTTGCTGATGCTTTGTCGCGTCACCCTGAGTTTTTGACTTGCCTTGTGAGTTCGTATGACCTCCGAAGGAAACTGAAGGAGGATCTGGTCGAACATACCGCCAAGGATCCGGACCTTAGTCCCATCCTTGAGCAGCTCAAGGCTGACCCTAGCAGTCAGCCTGATTTTCATGAGTGCGAGGGTCTTGTATTCCACCGGTATGGGAAGTTTGATCGTTTGTGTGTAACCAACCATGCGTCCCTCCGGACTCATTTCTTGGATTTGGCACATGGTCGGAGTGGACATTTCGGGTTTGAGAAGACTTATTGAAGTCTTCTGCTGCAGTTCGATTGGTCGGGGGTCTTGTATTCCGCCGGTATGGGAAGTTAGATCGTTTGTGTGTACCCAACCATGCGCCCCTCCGGACTCATTTCTTGGATTTGGCACATGGTCGGAGTGGACATTTCGGCTTTGAGAAGACTTATGGAAGTCTTCTGCAGCAGTTTGATTGGCCGGGAATGAAAGGATCTGCTCATAAATTTATTGCTGAATGTCAAGTTTGTCGAAGGACCAAGGTCCATAGGCATAAGCCTTATGGCCTGCTGAAACCCCTCCCCATTCCTGATGGACCCGGTGAGTCGATTTCCATCGACTTCACGGACATGGGAAAGGTGAGTGAGGCAGGGAATTCACAAGTCATGGTCATCGTGGACCGTTTTTCCAAATTTCTGAATCTGATTCCTTTCCCTCCCCATGCCCCAACTGAGCTTGTCATCGAAGAATTTCATCAGCAGTACATTCTGCAGTTTGGCCAACCGAAAACGATTGTGAGTGATTGGGACACCAGATTCATTAGTAAAGATTGGAAGGACTTCACTTCTCAGGTCTACGACGTTAAACTCGACAAGACTTCTGGTCGACACCCCAAAGCCAATGGATTGGCTGAGGAAATCAACCAGACTGTCATCCAACTACTGCGCGCATTAATTGTTCCAGATCAGAACACGTGGGACAAGGAGTTACACAAAGTGAAAGGGTTGTACAACAACTCCATTCACTCTGAATCAACCGCAATATGGTTGGCAGATGCGCAACCCTCTCTCCTATTTGTTCCCCGAACGGTCCCTTGGTCTGACGCACGGTATGCCTGGCTACAATGCCAAGTACGCACGCCTGCTCAAAGCTGCTATCGCAGCAATGAACAAGCGTCAGCATGCCATGATCAAACATGCTAACAAGTCGCGGTTCTTCTGGGTCAAAATGTCTGAGTTTTCTGATGAAGAGGGCTTATCACGAAAGCTTCTTCCATTGTACTATGGCCCTTGGCAGGTTCTGAAGGTGATTGGGGATGAATTTGGTCCTTCATATGTGATTGACGTGCCTCCTCATCTGCGCACATATCCAGTCTTTCACGCATTCAAACTGTTTCCACACATCGATGATGAAACTTTTCCCTTCCGGGATCCTATGATACCTCGTCCTATCGACGACGGCCATGAGATAGACAGAATCGTTTCCCATGAAGGCAGAGGAAGGAACATACAGGATAAGGTTCACTTCCTCTATCACCCGTTGAACGAGTTTTTCTGGATCGACCGGAAAGAGCTGCTAAAGAATGCTCCACGTGTTGTGAACGGGGGAAAACACTCGGGTAGCGGGGGTAGGCCCGCGACACTTAGAGCAGAGGGGAAAAACACTGTACCACTGAAGTAGTGGTAAAAGTGTCGGGTACTGGAGGCCGAGCAGAAGAAGACAAAAAGTTGACATTTTTAGAGGCTCAGTAGCGGTAGGCTAGAGGTAGGCCGGTACCAGTCCAAGTAGCCCGTTGTCGGGCGACCGAAGGCCAGTCGGTCGTCCTAATATTGGCGGATTGACACTTAGAAAAGTTGTCTGAGAGGGAATCGGTCGGGACTTTTGTCCGACCGGTTGGGAAAAATTAGGGGTACCTCGGGCACCCCTAAAATTAGATATGACGACCTCTGAGACTAACCCTCAAAATTACCGAGGGAAACTGCCGTCTCTAATGCGCTGGTGCCTACCTATTTCCGCCCGCTCACCGAAGTTGCGGGCCGCGAGATGGTGATTTGAGAGTAGGTCTTGGCAAAGTCTATTAGCGCAATTGCCGTGGGAATGGAGCCTCAGAATTTAATTATTTTTAATGTTAAAATTAAAAATGGCAAAAAGAAGTAAGAACAGTAGGAGGAAAGAGGAAAACATAATATTCCTAAATTTCTTTATTTTCCGCGGCATTTAACTCTGGGGGAGACACCCTCGTTATTTGACGTTTCCGGCAGTGAAATAAAAAACAAACGAAAGGATTAAAAATGGTAAAAGATAAAAGAAACAAAAGAATTTCGGCTATTTATGTGAGATGCCTCGGAATTTATTTTTGGTAAGATTACGTTTATTTATATTATTTTCGATAATAGAATTAAGAAAGGGGAAAAATAAATAAAGATAATAAGGAGGGAAACTAATGATTATTAGTCGAATGGTCTAATTTCGTTTGGATTATCCGCCATCAGCTCT